TATTCACATCGTTTTTATGCACTTTAACATGCAAGAACCTTATAAATCATGAGGTCAGCCTTAAATTTTTACTAATTGCCAGTAAAGTTTGGTCCGCCCATCAATCCCGACGAAGGCTACATCAAAGTTGCACACTGCGCTTTTATGCAGATAAATTGTCGGTTATTTCCAACCCACGGCTCACTCCTCGGCTGCCATCGTCCCACTCGTTGGCGTTCTGTTTCGTTTGGTTGGCTTTGCAGACGCCGCGTCAGTTGTTTGGGCTGAAAGGTTGAAGGAAGGAAGAACGAAGGATGGATCCCAACGGACCTAAGCGGAGTGTCGGCTGCTCGCCTGATTGTTTCAGTAAAGTTTTGCTGGAACCGCCCAACTAACTATTATTGTTGTTGCTGTTGTTGTGATTTTGCAAATTAATTTGCTTATAATTTTTACGCTTAGTTAAACACAATTTTGAGTGATTTTCACACAGAAAATGCTCGATGCTGAAAAGTTTTGCCTCGCCCGAAGGCAAAAGGCAGAAGGCAGCGCACAGTGGGACCGAGTGTTTAAAAAAATTTACAAAATTTATTCAGATTAATTAGATAATGTACGAATTATTGAAACTTGAAAAAAACTAACTATTCGCGTACCCCAATAGAACGTGTATTAATTCTAAACAAAAGTTGGAGAGATACAAGGTTTAAATTTTAATTTCTTTATGTGCACAAGCCCCTGTTTTCAAATCTAAATTCTATTGTTATATAAATTTTTAAACTCAAAACATTTAAAGCGAACAACATGCAACAGACAAGCCGCATTTAAATTATTTTATTCCGATTCCCAATGGCGGTTCCATTGGCTTCGTTAGCTCCAACTGGCGATGCAAACAGCGGAAAGTAAAAAAAGATATATGTACATATATACATATATATATATATGCATTTAAATGTTATTTGCATCATTCTGACGTTTGTTGGCGCGCACCCCGTCCAGCATTTTTGAAGCCTATCGGCGTTTTTCATATTTTTATAAATTGCTATAAATTGAGATATTAATACGATAGCCGACAGAAGTCACAGCCGATGGGACCAGTTTGTTGTTGTTGTTGTTGGCCGGTTCGCTGATTTCAACATGTGGCAAAAAGTGTCGAGACATTAAAAAATATTGCGCAAGTGTTGCGCAAACATAATGTGCAGTTATTTGTATAAAATGCGACAAGCGACAACTTTTTCGGGACAACATTTGGCCAGAGCCCTCCCTGCTCCGATAATGAAGTTGTTGCTAATGACCGTTTCGTGGCCATAACCGAGGTAGAGGGCTAGTATCAGACTTTAAGCTCAAATTTAAACACTGGCACTGCAGCACCAAAGCGGTAAATGTCCTTTTGCAGGACGTCATCCAGCTTAAATATTCCATGCACACGCAACACACACATTTCGTCAGTTGCTTCAATTGGACTGATTTAATTGAATCAGTGTGCTCCTCTGCCGACTCCACATGCTCTGCTATGCTACTCTTCTATGCCCTACCTACCATGTCTACCATTTTTGTCTTCGGTCTTTCAATTTACTACGCAAGCTACTGCTGATGTTGTTGTTGTTGCTGTTGTTGCTTTTACTGTTGTTGTTGCTGCAGAGTGTCTGTAGTTTCGGGTCTACGTTATTCGCACACGTTTGCGTGCTATGCATGGCATAAAAATTTGACACAAAGGCCGTTGCATACAATTGGGCGCGTACACACACACGCACACACACACAGTTTAATACATATGTGCATGTGTGTACAGCAGCAGCCGCGGCCCATGGCATTTGTTTGAGTATGGCCAGACGAGGCATAGGGCTACCCAAATGGCGACGTGTTGAGGTCGTTGTCATACACTGATTTTGTATGCAGCAGAAACAACCATTTTAATACATGCTTTTTATACCCAGTACCCATTGAAAATGGCTAAAAAATAAAAGAGAGTATACTGAATTTGTGCACATATATGTATGTAACAGGCAGCAACAAAATGCTCTGACTCTATTAGATATAAATATTCTTTATCGATTCCACTAGCTAATCTAACAAGTCCCATTTTTTTGTCAGTCCGCATCAAATGCATCCAGACATAATTATATAGTGTCAAATTTGGTTTACTGTTTCCCAATTAAAATGTGTACAAAGTTAGCTTTTTTCGACAACTCATCCCAGAAAATAAATTCAGAAATTGTTCGTGAAAAATGTTTCATTGTATAGAAAAAAGCGCTGTGAAAATTGTACATTTTGTGGCGTGTGTTTGCTTGTATTTATGTATAGCTAAAAATTACTTTGTTATGTACAGGGTATCTGGTAGGAACATGCAGTTTATCAAGTAATTTCTCAAATATTGCTATTGTGACAGAAACCAAATTGAAGTAGAGGCTATTAATTCAGTTAAATATCGACAAAAATATATAAAAAGAATCAGTTGTTTTTAATTATGTTGATTAAATTGAAACAATTCTCATTCTTTTTTCAGGCTACCAATTAATAAAAGCTATTATCATATTTAAAGTTATATCTGCCAGTCTCAAACACGCCAACAGAATAATCGAATTGCCCCGCCGTACTTCTGCTCGTTTAAGCGATTTCTGTATTATCGTTTTACATGTAAGAATCCCAGGCAACAGCTTACGCACCCATCTTATTTATTTGGCTACTTGTAATATTTAATAAGAACGCCTCAATTGGTTTGGGAGACACACACACACAGACCCGTACATAACAATACTTATGCTCCTAAATTCAGGCAATCACAATTTATATTTTGGTTGGCACCCAAACTCAGGCTGCCCTCTCCGTGGCCCCCTCACCTGATTTTACTCTACACGTGCGTTGCCATCTCGACACGAACTACATAAATAAGCGAACGACAAAAGATGCTCCTGAAGCCTTCCTCACATCCGTATGGGTCGACGGTGGGCGGAGGCGCAGAAACTTTTCCAATTTTCCCCTTTTTATCGTAAATTACGCACAATTCAATATTTGGCCTTTTTACTGGCGCTTGTTTTGTGTCCCCGTTGCCTGCCCTTTTTCTGCTTGACTAGCTCCCAAGTGTGTAGCTGGGGCAGCAGTTAGTGCTCTGGGAGTGAGGCATTTTGTCTGCAATTTCTTTTCTTGTTTTTGCTATTTAGCTATTTTTTGTGTGTCTCTTTACCGTAAATAAGAAATCTCATACGTGCCTATTCAGCCTAGACCTGCCATATATATTAGCCCCGCCTCCCAAAGTCCACCCGTTGTCCATTTACTTTATGAATGAGTAAGTAAAAGTTAGTTTTACTTTTGTTTCTGCGCTGAAGGAGTGCGGATCTTTAATCGAAATTGCGATGTGCGCCAACTGTAATGATTGTTTTTCTATGCGTCTTAATTTATTTAGCATTATTCAGATTGGAATACGACTTGGGCAAAGTTTCCTACAACTTATTGCCATTAGCTAGCTTGGGCAGCTTTATTTTAATTGTTGCAAGTAAATAATGTGTCCAAGCCATAGAGTGTAGCGAGGCATTGGGTTCTCAACAGCTTTTGAATTAGTTCTGACTCAACTAGATTTTTGTTTAGAGAAAAAAATATGGCATACACTTGTATTCTAGTCATTTGATATTTGTATATTTTTTAAATTTCCTTGAGTTTTAAATTCCTAGCACTCGCTTTAATTACAAGTACAAGATTCTAACTATATATCGTAACAATTATTAATACCCTACAGCTTTTCTATATTACTTTTATGTCTGCATTGTGCATATTGTAAAATAAAATATGAACCCAATTCAATAGATGAAAGTAAACATTTATATCTTCTATTTGGACGCCATTCTTCTGTTACGTTGCAATCTTTATTGTTCCACATGCGTTTTTCTCTCGCTGCCCCTTTCTCTCACTCCCTCTTTCTCTCTCATACCGCTACTAAGCCAATCCACAGTAATACAGCTCTGCCCCACATGGCGTATACGTGTTAATTTGAATTTAAGCTTTAATTGGAAAGCCTGTCAATGGATATTTTGCGAGAAAAAAAATCATCTTCAATGCAGCAGCTGCAGCTGGCGAGGCCATTAAAGCGCATCGCCGTTGGTGTTGGCCCGCTGCGTTAGGCGCGGCCACAGTCACCACGCCCTTACGCTGACGCCCATAAAAACATTTATGTAATTGCTGTTATCGACAAGCGCCCAAATGGCCTCGTTGTGCCGGCTGTAAACGGGCCTTTAATACACTTTTGATTGGATTGTCGCACAAGTTAATTGAACGCCGCGGCACAGCATGGCTGCAACGAAAGCCACGGCCTAAGCCACTGCGCCGCCATTTTGGTTCCGAATGGCGGCAATTATATACGAAACTAGTTGGCAAAATCCTCGCCCTCCCTCCAATCATATGCCAGGGCAGCTCAATGGAGCGCAGCAACAAATCGCAGACTCATGCAAGCTCATTAGGCAAAAGGTCGTATGAATAACCATCCCCCAAAAGATTCTTTTCTGCTATTGTTGTTACCCATTACTGTATTACGGGATATATTCAGAGTCGGATACTCTACTCGACAGTTAATACTCTCGACTGCAAGTCGTCTATCGTCTTTCTGGCCAAGTTTTCGGTTAATGCTTCGACGCATTTTATCTTTTGTTGCTGTCGTTGGTTAATGCGCTAGCAAATTGTTTGAGAATGACCCGCGTAAATTTCATTTCTAGTTGATTTACTGTAAATTGTATTGCAGGGGCCACAGAAAACGATAGATAAACTGAGCATACCATAAAAATGGCTACCGAATGTAGTAGACTTTTATAAATTGATTGGGTCATGGGCTGATGGGGCACCCAAAATGGCGAACTAATTTTTTGATTTCGTTTGCATTTGATTTTTGCTTAGATTTTATTTGGCAGTTGATTGTATGATTTGTGGGTGACCTGAAGGTTTTCTGATTGAGTCCAAATAGGCAATTTGGTAGATGTCATACTCAGAAAGGTAGATGATTTAGTGGGGCCATATTCAGAAAATGCTTTCGTTCTACTTACCCTTCTGATAACTCATCATTTCAAATTAGTGATATGCGCATAAAGACGAATTGAAGTTTGCTTAAAGCAGTTCAATGTCCAACAAGATCTGAAATAAGAAAATGTAATAAAATGGATCATAATATCAGGTTTCTTACACAAAATACAATAAACTTATGCGAAAGGCAGCTTTTATTTATTTTTCTATAGGACACCATCTGACCTATATTCTTTTCGATGCAAACAAGTGCCCGACTAGAGGATACCCTAACCCGCGCGATCAGATCTCTATAAAAGTGGTTAAAGCACATATTTTACAATAAAAGGAGAGACAGAATAGGGGAGGGTTTAATATTCTGGATCTGTGTAGACTACATATCAAATTTGGTGCCTCTAGCTCTGAGATAAGTTCAAAAAACGGGATTTCGATAACGATTTTGATCGATTCTATGGCAATGAACCAAGTAATCGAAGATTCGAAACCAATTTGATTTGCGTAGATAACTCTGGGCAATAGAATTCAATTTTTTAGGCCAAGCTTAACGCGTTTATACATACGGCCAGACGGACGGACAGACAGACAGACAGGCGCACATAGTTAGATATGTTCGGCTGTTGATGGTTTCAAGAAAATATATCTTGAATATATATATTCAGGCCTTTCGCCTGAAACATTCATTTGCACCAAAAGTAGACACAATGAGTCCAGGGTATAAAAATAATAAAATTACTTACGCAATTTGTTAAAAGTTTGTTATATAAAAAAACAGTCGAGACTATACGTCATCGTCATCAGATTTATCTTGTTTATTTTTGCTCTCCAATGTCTGCTACTGTGGCACAATTTTTACTTTTTCCAGCTACTTCAGCGTAAAAAAAACCTTTTGCATTCGTTTGTTTTACTTTCAGTAAAAAGGAAATGTTTATGTGTACTTAAAACTGAGCCCGCATCAAGTTCAATCTAAGGCTGAAGTTGGAATTGAAGTAAGCGAATGGCGAAGGTGCGTCGTGTAAATATGCTCAAGTCTTACCGGTGTTAGTTTTGTAAATTGCAGATTGCAACATTTTCATTAAATTGAGTCAAACAACAAACAGCAGCCACGGCGTCGAATGAACTGGGTAAACAATCAAGCCGCTCTCAAGACTGCTCTTGTTTAAGTATAATTGACTAAGCAGTTGACTTTAACAAATTGTCAGATTTACTTTTAGTAAATTTAGATAGCTTATTGTCAGCAATATGCATTAGACTGTTTGTCCTAAGTGACTAACCGATTGGCGAATGACCAACTGCCCGTTAGTGGTAATAAAAACTGTAAGTGGACAGCAAGACGCTGTGGAAAGTTTGGTGGAAAACGATTGCAAAAAGCGTTTATTCGATCGGTCTCGGACTTATACTGAAAGCTATTTATATACAATAGAAATTAGGTGTTCCACCCTTTTTCCACAATTCACTTCATTGAGTGGAGAAGGGGTTCAAAGGTTGTGTGGAATAAAGCTGAGTTTATTGCTGATCGAGTCTACATGAAAAGTTATTAAATACAATGTTTATTTTGTAAAATACAACTGCAACTTGCAAACATGCGCAGAATCAAACTGTGCGTTGATCACCAGTTTCCACCCTTTTCCCAAAATTGACCCCATTGGGTGGAAGGGGGGTTTAAAGGTTGTATGGGATGAAGCAAAATTTAATGCTGATCGACTTTAAGTTTATGTTTTAAGCTTTACATCTTAAGAGATACACCTCCTGAAAATCGGAAACACGCGTGGAACCAAAATGTGCGTTGATCACCAATCAGACAGTCAAGCAGTCAATCAGTCATTCAGGTGTCCGAGGGCAAAGCATCGCCTGGCTACTTTAATAATAAACCTTTCAGGAAAATGTTTCATGTGTGATTTCCCGATTTCATTCTGGGCAACAAAATACAAATTCAGCTATAAAACAGTTTTAACCAAGTGACAGTAAATAGTGTTAATGATGCAGCAGCAAGGGCGCCTACACACCCTGTAAACACACACACACAGAAGGCAAAATAGTTTTAGCCTCATTTCCACGCAGTACCTAGCAGATTTTTAGGGGGACCAAAGCTGAAGAGTTTATAAAATTAACGTCGTCATGACATTCAAGCAGCCAGCGCTGTCGTTGCCATTGCCTCGCCGCCTCGTCTGGCTCATCAAACTAACCGCCTTCTTCTCGTCCCTACACACTTGTCACGCTCCAAAACATCCTTTGAGCTTTCGCTGTGCATTTGTATGCGTTTTGCTTGCCTGATTTATGTGTGACGATCTGTGTGTGTGTGTGTGTGTGTACGAGTGTGTGTGTTTACGTCTCTGTCGTGTTGGCATTTGTCGTTACAAACTTAATTAATGTTATGCTGCTGCCACCGCCACCGCCACCGCCTCTGACGGCACTCGCCAGTGCCAGGGCTGCCCTTGTCCTCCAGGCTCTTGACTTTTGTCAAGCGCCGCAAAAACTGCAGCCGGTTGACACTGCGCCACTGTCAGTTTCAGCTGACGTTTGGTGTTTGTGTTCCATACTGCGTCCCCGACTTCGTACACCAACTCGTTCCCGTTCCCGTTCCCATTTCGGGCTGGCGTTTTGCATGTGATTAGGCGGCGTCTGTGCTGGAGCTTCCCTGGATGCTGAAGTTGAGCCCGCTCTTGGCCACTATGTGTATGTGTGTGTGTGACTGTCTATGGTGTGCGTGTGTGTGTCACAAATATGGTGCTCAGCTTTCGAAAATTTTGTGTTTCTGTTGACGTTTGGCAAAATCGCATTGACAGCATTATCCATATTGGCATAATCACCGCTTGGCTATGGCTCTGTTTGTTTTGGGGTTTTGGTTGCTTATTTGCTTAGCCTGTGGCTGCTTTGGCAGCTAGTTGAGCTTGATGATTAGCGAGAGCTGCCGCAAGCCAGAGTTCGAAAAGTTCACGCTTTCTTGGGATCAGTTTAAAGGCAGTTGAGAGATTTAGTCGTAAGCGAAACCACATTAAATTGTCTGCAAGCCCAAAGCTGTTTAAATTTGCACAAAAAACACTTGCTGAATTTTTCTATTCATCTGGTGCGTCCCATTTCACTGGGCTTAGCCGAGCCGACAGACTCCGCATTTGTGGTATAGTTGATGGTGGGGCAAAGGGATCCAAACAAATGCCGACTTTACTTTGTGCAGCAGCGCGTGAATCGGTGTGGGAGGCAGAAATGCAACGTCTGGGCAGAAGGCCCACACAGAAAAATACGAGTAGCAGGAACACTTTATTTGTTTATAGCGCAAATGGCGGCACAAAAAGTGCAACACAGCTGCCGGCTAAAAGGCAGCAAATGCAGCCAAAGAGCAAACCTCCTGCCCAGAGTCTTATGTGTTGTTGTAGCTCTCATTGTCAATACTCCTGTGGGGCGTGCAAAGTTTGCCATGGCATCCAATGCAGCTTATGTGGAAGGATTTGTTAAGGTGTGCGTGTGAGTGAGAGTGTGTGTGTCAGTGTGTATGGTTGTGTGCTTAAATATATATAAGTCTTGTCTATTGTCTGTCTGAAATGTGTTGCACGAGCAGTCGTAATCAGTTTACCTTGCCGTAAATTGTGTAAAAAGTGAAAAGAATTTGTTTCGCTTTATTCAGCCTACAAGTAAAATGGCATGTGATAATGGTGAGAATCTTTTGAATATACTATACTTTAGCGGGAATTTCAAAGGAAATTTAATGATATTTTGTTTTACGACGGCAGACAGACAGAGATAGATATACTAATTATTTTATCTCCAGCCCGATATATCGAGCACAATCTTGTACAGATAACATTCAATTGTGCAGCTAAATCGACAAAAGCCCATTGCATTATAAGGCTTCCATAAGAATAATCTATCGAAAGTAGAACACTTCTCACACTGGAATTTATAATTTTCGGCATGCCCAAGTTAGCTGTTAGCTGTAATTTTCAAATAATTCTAATTCTAATTCACAAATATTTGTACGAATGTGTTTGTTCAAGTACTCTCAGCGATAGAATTCTACCTTTCCCAATATAACATATTCAATTCGAATGTCTATCAATCGATAGTTTTTATAACTATGAAGTGTATTTTAGTCATAGCGAGAGCCTTTTATTTATTGCACTTCAAATTGTTTACGTTTTTATGTTGCATATCTTTGCCGTATGCGCACATACATAGGATCCTTCAAGTTTCTCCCTCTCCATCCGCTCCACCTTTTGGACAACTACCCACTCTTGCAGAATCTGAGCAAGGCTACCAGCAGAGAGGCCACATCGGCAACATAATTTAAATGCCAACTTTAAAATGTTTACCGAACGCTTCATCCTAGTTGTAACGCAAATTTACGGGCCAGCAGCTAAACAAACACGGAAACACACTTTCACGTACACACACACACACACACACACACACACTAGCCGGCATGCATTTGTGTGTGTGTGTGTGTGTGTGTGTGCGCGCCTGCCTGTGGTTCGTCTGTGCTTTCTATTTGCGCTTAATCCATGGACAGCAGCGCTAAAAAGCATGCTACAATTTTTTCTATGCATCTCCAGGCGCGAAGAGATATGCACCAAACAAAAAAAACCAAATTCTGTTCGGGCGACTTGCTCATTACTGTGGCAATTTTTTCTATGTTCGCGTCAGTTCGGACCGCCTCATTATGTTGGATTTTAATTAAAATTAATTACATTAAGTGCATCAAGCAAACAGCAAGCAACACACACCAGACCAGACCAAACCAGACCAGACCAGAGCCGAGCAGAATCAGCAATCGGCAGGCGAGCAAAAGAAGGAATCACTCTAAACACAAAGCGCCCACAAAGCAGCGTTCATATGCATGGGGCGTGGCAGCAGCCATGTAACTGAGTTCAGCTTGCAGCCTGGCCGAGTGTGAGGTTAAATGCGCTTTAAGTATAACTCTTTTTGTACGCATTTGCGTCAGAGTTACTGCTAAAATAAACACATATTCCAAAGGCATATTCTTATAGCAGCTTTAATTGTCCAAAAAAAAAAAACGCTTAAAGCGCTGACCGAGATGTGCCTTTGGCAGTGCTTGAATAAATGTACAAATTGTGTAAATATTTTAATCAACACCAGCTACCGTCAGTAGATGAGGCAAC